CCCAAGTCCCGCAGGGCCGTGCGTGACACTGTTGGTCCTGCTTCGCCCCTCCCGGGCCTGGCTGGCACTTCATGCAAATCCGCACAGGGCCTGGAAGCCACAGGAGACCAGGAGGGATGCGCTGCCCCCCGACCCGGGGCCCCACAGGCTAACTTAGCTCTGGCCCCTTGGACACCTCTGGCCCTCACAAGTCCATACCCCACTTCAGATTATCAATCCCAAGGCCAGGTCTCCTGGGGCTAAGTCAGGGGTACCCCCGTCCCCGTCTTGGGTGAGACTGTCTGCTTAACAGCACACAAGACCCAGGGCACAGTCTCAGTCCCTGTGCTCGCCAGTCCATTTAAAAGGACAACTCAGGCATGATGCTGGGGTGGGGTCGGGGCTTCCGGGTCCTTTCTGGGTCCCCCGCACACCCAGACCTTCTCCCCAGGTCCTAGGTATGTTTAGGGGTCCCAAAGCACAATAAGGTATCGGCTCAGACTCTGCCCTCCTCTCCTCCCCAGGATGGAGCAGCATCGGATCCCCGTTGCAGGACCAGCCCCACTCCAGGCTTCCCAGGACACCTTCAAAGTCACCTCGTCAGATGAAAGGGTGCTCGTGTCTCCCAGGAGGCTCCGGGGAGGGAGGCGCATGAAGACTAAAAATGTTTTTGTTCTCATAGCCTGGATCTCCCGACTCCTTCAAGGCCACAAACTGACTGCTTTTACCCGCTACAGTCATAGTTTTCAGTAGCTGTCATGGTAGCACACACCTGTGATCCCAGCACTTGGGAGGCTGAGGCAGGAGAATTGCTGCAAGTTCAAGGCCAGCCTGGGATACAAAAAAAAAAAAAGATAAGGAGGAAAGAGGAGGCAGTGGAAAGAAGAGGAGGAGGAGAAGAAAGAAAAGAAAGAACAGGAGGAGGAGGAAGAAAGGAGGGGGAGGAGGAGAGGAAGTAACAACATCAGTTTCCATGAGTAAATTTTTCTCTTCTGTTGCCTTACCTTTGGTTATTTTGCCAGTGGCTCCAGACAAGCGTCTTCGAGCAGTGTGTCATTTCATACTTGTCTCCTGGCTCCTCGTCCCTCCACGATGGCAGTGGGTCCTTAGGGCTCACACACGGTGGAGCAGGAAGCTGCTAAGGGACCCGGGGAATCGGTCCCCCTCACCTCTGAAATGCTCGCTCCAGCTGCCGTGACAGTGGGTTGGTAGAGAGTGCTCCCCTGGGGCTGCCTGGGGTGGCTGCTCACAGGACACCCAGCACAACTAGCAAAGGCAGTCCCTGTCACGTGACAAGTACTGGACAGCCACGACTTTGAAGGAGACAGGCTACTTAGGCTCACATTTTCAGTCCATGGTCAGCTGGCTTCAAGGCAAGTGGCACAGCACAGGGGCCTGGTGGAGGAGAGCTGCTCACAACGTGGGGACAGGAAGTGGAGGGAAGAGAGGAGGCCCAGGGACCCACCTCTTCTGACCAGCCCCCTCCCAAGAGCAAATCGGCTATGAGCCCTGCAATCCAGTCACTTCCATAGCCCTGCCTGCAAGCACAGAGGCTCCTGGGGACATCTACATAGAAAATGACAGTCAGAGGATCTGCTGTCACATAACGGGAGGGCCCTGTGCAGCTTGGCCAGGCACTCGGGTGCCTCGGGTCCATCCCTGTGGGCTAGCCCTGTCCTACAGCCACCTTTGGAGTGGGCAGCCCCAGGGTCCAGGGAGCCTCTCAGATCCAGAGAAGAATCTCCTCTTTCCTGGATGGAGGAGCAGCAGCCCTGGGCTCCCCTGATTGGACCAATGTGCTGAGGCTGGGACCAATCGCCATGGACCAAGGAGCCGCATGCCCCCCCACAGCTGGTGGAAAGGCAAGGACTGGGTGGTTCACTGTGGTTGCACCTTTAGGGACAGACACAGGTGAAAGGGACCTTGCACATCCAGGTGTCTAGGAAGCTGTGGGAGGGGGAGGGAGCTTTCACTTATGTGTTTTTAGTTATGCTTAAGTAACCACACCTAGTTGGCTTCACCGACACCTTGGACTTCCTCCGTCTCATAATCTGTAACCACGAAGCCAGTCTGGTCAGCCTGCAGGGTGACTCTAATGGTTCTTGCAGGACCTGTTAACAGTAATCAAAATGACACTAGGAGGCTGTGGCAGGAGGATCACTGTGAGTTCAATGCCAGCCTGGATTACATATTGAGAAACTCAAAAACAAACAGCCAGGCGTGGTGACGCACACCTGTAATCCCAGCACTCAGGAGGCTAAGGCAGGAGGATCGCTGTGACTTTGAGACCAGCCTGCGCTACATAGTGACTTCCAGGTCAGTCTCAACTACATAGTGAGACCCTGTCTCAAAAAGCCAAAAAAGAAAAAAAACAGAACAATCAAAATGACTCAATTCACATCTCCCCTTCTTTCCTTTTCTCAGGTGCCTGCAAGGATCAGTATTGCCCTGGGATTTCACTAAAATCAAAACAATGGGCAGAGAATGTGGAGAGGTCTGTCTCTGTGTTGCGGTGTTTGACGCAGTGCCAGAGGGTCCCTGAGTTAAGGTGGTCGCCAAACAGGAGTGGCAACACTTTTCATATCTGGGTATCCATGGCAAACCCACGTCGTGGACCACAAGTTGGAGATGGAGGCTGCCAAGGCTCCGACTCCACCTCCTGAGCTCTTCTCGAAGCCCACTGTACCCAGAGCCCTCTTTCCCGCACAGCGAGGAGCCCAGCGGCGCAGGGCAGCTTCGCTTTCTCCCCTCTTCTCTCTGCCACCCTGCTGCCCCCGTCAGGACTGCCAGGCTTGAACCCAACTCAGGAGGAATCTCCACTGGCGTGGAGAAGAGGGAAGATGGCACTCGGAGGAGAAAAAGCATTGTCTCAGCCCGCTCTGCATTGCTGCGACAGAATGCGACAGAATGCTTGCATGAGCGGCCCCAGAGCCTCGGGTGTTCACAGGTGGGGCTTCTGGGAGGCGGCTGGGCCATGGGCGTGTGGTTCTGGATTGGCCCTGTGGGTTTAGAGCTGGGTGTGATGCTGGGCTGGGAAGCCTGATAGGAAGAGGTGGGCCCTGGGGACATGGCCCGGAAGTGTCTCTTTCCCGCGTCCTCCTCCCACGATCTCCCTACTCCCCACTGCCACACCATGAGCTGATTCTCCTCTGCCAGGCCCTGGAGCCAGCCAACTGTGGACCGAAGCCTCTACAAACAGCCAAAATGAACCTCTCCCTCTCTGACTTGTGAGCTCTGGTATTGTGTTCCAGCAGCAAGAAAGTAACTAAGGCTCAGAGGGCGGGTGATTTCTAATGAGTAGAAATGTTCCTGCTCATGCCTCAGTCAGCAGCTTCACCCCCCGGTGGGCCGGAACCATGGCTTTGTCCTGCCCTGCTGGGGCCTCCTCCACACTCCTGCCTCCCGCTAGCCACTCGACAACGTTCCTGTCCATCAGAGTGGCCGTGGAGTGGCGCCGATGTGAGGAGTGAAGGTTGCTGAGTGACAGCTCTTCTAGGGCCTCTCGCGTTTCTTCGAGAGCAGTGGGACTGCGATTCCTAAGCCGCTGGAATGGCCAACAGTCTCTGAAGATGGAGATTCAGACAGAGCCTCCACAGAGAAGGACGGCCGGGCTGCACAGAGCCCAGCATAACGGGGTGGGACTCCCCAAGCTCACGGGTCTTGGCTGGGATGCCAGCCCACTGTGCACAGCCACAGACTGTCATCCTCCTCCCTTTATTTCCTTGTAGTACTGGGACTGGACGCAGGGCCTTTCCACTGAGCTACATCCTATTTGAGATAGGGTCTCAATAAGTTGCCCAGGCTGGCCTCAAACTTTGAGCCTCCTGCTCAGCCTCCAGGAGTGCTGTGGTTAAAGGTGTGCGCCACCGTGCCCAGCTTCAAAATCCTTCTTTTTCATGCAGCTTTTAAAATTTCCTGTGGTCTAAGTTCTTTATCCCTTATATGCTCGTTATTTACTTTGGGGAAAAGATCAAGAATTCAGTAACTTCTCGGTGGAATGCTCCTCGCTCTGCATTTTCAAATTTCCTTTCCTGTAGCCGCCAGTCCTCCACAGGTCCCCTGCAAGATCTCACCCAGCCTGATGCCACCCAGGAGCCCCGAAGCTAGCCCCATGCACCCTGCAACGAGGGAAACGGCATGCTTGTGAATGCGTCACCGGGCTTCTCACACTTGCTTACGAGAAGCTGAGTTTATTCAACCAGTGCCAAGCACCACCAAGAACAGAGGGGCGAGTCCAGAAAATACAAATGAGCTGTCCAGTCTACATCATATAATGCCTCTAATATTACTATGAAGGAGGGGAAGGAGAAGAGCATCCGTCAACTCCACAGAAGCCATGCTCACCAGGGCGTCGGCGCATGGTGCCCAGGAGGTGTGGGCACCTTGGTCCCGCCCCCAGCCACTCCGGTGACAGCACTGAGGAGCGAGCGCTGCTGACAGGCCACACAGCCGACCGTGCAAGGAGCCCGGGCAGGGAGGCAACCTGTCGGTCCTGGAGACGGTCGCACAAATGTCTTCCTCCCTGAGACGGTCTCGCAAAACAGTCCAAGCTGGCCTTGAACACACTGTGTAGACAGTGATGTGAGCCATCTAGGGCCTCCAGTGACACAAACAGCCTGCTCTGCCGTGTGCGCCACAGGATCGCAACCACTGGTGTAGACCAACGCTCGCTCAAAGCCACAGCCATCCTCCTACCTTGGCCTCACAAATGTGAGGCTACACAAATGTTTCATCTTGAATATAAGGTACCTTCTGTTACCCTATCATCAAACTTTATCCACAAAACAACACCATGGGTCTTGTAAAATATCCAGAAACTTCACCTATTTGGAAGCTTCCAGAGATTACACAGAATTTTTGCACCTAACTCTATTGTGCTGTATTAATGCAACCTGCTTATGTCTGCAGCTTTTCATAAATTTAACCTTAACTTACAAATTGCAAATAAAACAATACTCCCACCTAGTGGACAAAAGAAAAATGCCCGGCTTGTTTGCGCTGTGAACGGTGTCAGTCACAAAGGAACGAGATGAATTCACTGTTTCAAGTTTATTCTGTCTTATCACACCACAGTACAGCCCCTGAGAAACCCCAAAGCAGTGCTCACTGCGCCCCTTCGTGGGATGGGTGCTGGCAGACACGAGACACCCAGGCTCACGTATAAATGTTACTCTGAACCTCGTTTGCCGCCGTCAGCTTCTTCAGAGTCTCTGTGCTCTGGGGAATGTTCTGGAAGGAGACAGGAGGTTGTCAGACAGCAGTCAGAGGTGGCAACACAGCACCGAGCTCACCCCACCTCTGCACTTTCCGCCCCTCCACGCGTCCCCCTGCGAGGCCGGCTGCACGGCCGCTCTGCCAGGTGCCTCTTCCCCAGGAGACCTCTGTCCAGCATGCCTGGCCACACAGACCCCAGCGTGACCAGCCCGCTCTGGAGCCCCAGGCAGTGACTACACGGAGTAACTGACACCTGTCCCCACACCGCTGGACGGGGACAGAAGCCAGGCACCGACTTGGGTTGGAGTCACTCAAACGCAGGGCTCTGCAGTGTGACGTCCACCCTCACCGCAAACTGCTCTCCTCAGCACAAGGGATGCCTTTAGGCCTCCCCTTTGGATGCTGGTGAGCCCCAGTGCCCTGCCGCCGGAGGTGAACGGGACCCGCATCGGCACCGACCCCAAAGAGACGCTCGGCGCAGTCACCCAGCCCAAAGGAGCTGAAGTGCAGGCGAACACGCGTGAATCAGCCTGCCCGCACAGCATCCCCACCGCGGGCTAACGCGGAAGATCCGCTGAGGTGCTCCACGGCGCTCTACCCTGCGCTAGCTCAGCAGAGGGCCGATGGGGGCCTTCGTCCACAGGCTGGGCAGGCAGTGAGCCAGGGCCACCGAAACGAAAGCACACGGAGCGGACAACCTGGGAAGCGCTCAGCACGAAGTCTCGGCACCTTCCCAGGAAGAGACGGCCGCGGGACGTGTGTAACCACCACTCCCCGGTGCGTGGGTGCAGATCGGGGCCAGGGCGTCACGCATGGAGCCAAGTGCTCCACCGCTGGCCTCCACTCCCAGTCCCCTTCCTTTCAAGTGCTTCTTGACCGACAGGACGCAGGAGAGAAGGCAGGGTGTCACCACCCCACCGGAAATTCCAGGCAACTGCGTGCGTGTCCGACGAAGTATTTAGGGGCGAGTCCACAGATCAGGGAAGGGCAGCGGTTTGTTATGTGGTTCTCTACTTCTCTCATCTTCATACACCCAGCCCCCCAAAATTAGGTGAACCCACGTTGAAACAACCGGACACACACCGCCCTGCACAGACCTCCTCAAACATCACAACCGTCTGTTGCATAACTAATGGGTTACACAAACTCCCTGAGCAATGAACCCGTCCGCCCAAGGAACTGCACTCCTCAAACACGAACGTGGGAGTCACTGGGTCGCAAAAGTGCAGCGGAAGAGCGGGCGGCGCTCGAGTTCAACCTGCCAGGCTCGGATGGGCAGCCGTCCACCCAGGGCTCCGGGCTGAGGCCGCTGGGGCGCCGACAGAGCCCAACCTCACCTTGGCCAGCCCTTTCAGGCTCCGGGAAGAGAGCACGGGCTTGAAGGCTTCCACCGTCAGGAGGTCCAGCTTCATCACATCCGTGTAGCACAGGTAGAGGATCGCGGGGAGCTGCCACACCTGACAGTAGCTCAGCACTGGGAACACACAAGGGGAACCGCTGGAGTCTCCCATGACACCGCCTTTAAGTTAAACAGCTCTAAAGATAAAAAACCGCGTTACTGAATCACGTCTGTGGCCTCTACACTGCCATGATGAACCAATTCTTTCACAAGCAACTTATTTTCCTAATAATCTTTCACCTCTGCAGATATCTTTACTTTGTACTTCCTGAACGTAATGTGGAGACAATTTTAAGCAGCTACAAAATGAAGATTTCACTGGCTGTAATAAACAATCCACAGTACCTGTGTGAAAGGTAAAAACTCTTCCTTTAATGCAGTCTGCTGAACACACCATCACATTATGTAAAAGCTTGTGATACGAAGCACACACTACCGAAAAACAAGTGGCCATCTATTTCTGCCGTGATGGCCAGGGGTAATTGGTGATGGTGATGAAAACGTTAAAGCACCAACACAGAGGCAGTAAGGAGGCTTCACGCCCCACCTACGCCTGCCAATTCTGCTGCCACTCCCGGTCCACGAGGGCGACAGAGCGCCGGGCCCTGGGAGGTGGCTCTAGGCGGGCAGCTCTGCTTCCAGGACAGCTGAAAGCCCAGTCCAATGTCCCGCACTCACACCGCAGCCACCGTGGGCCGGCGGTGACCTGCACGGACAAGCTGGAGCTTGCTGCGTGTGATACAGGTACGTCACGTCACGCACCTCCGCCCTGCCTACCTGCGGCGGGAAGGTCGTGCACGAAATTCGGCTGTTCCAGCAGGGAGCAACACACCGGGTCTTTGAAGTTCTGTGTTTTCAGGGCTTTCAGGAAAGGAGAAGGCAGGCTGCCAGCGGGTTCGGAGCTTTTATAGTCGGTGGTGTGTCGACACGTGAGCACGGTTACCTGCACGTTCTTCTTTGGGCAAGAGCCAAAAACCTAACGCAAAATTGACTTCAAATCAAACCAAAGAAACGAGGCATGGGGCTTGCTGCCACCTGTAATCCCAGCACTCAGGAGGGTCTTGGGCCGAAAGTTCTAGGCCAGCCTGAACTACAGTGAGACTCTATATCTCAAAACAGGGCAGTGCACCGTGTGCATGCAGCAAGGCACCCATGAGTCGCTCTTGACCAGAGGCCGCCACGAAGTCAGTCACAAGCACGGTGACGTTCATGCCCTCGCCTGCCACCAAGGGCGTCTGAAAAAGGCTCCCGCCTGGAGGCGCTGTGAGTTACAGCCACAGACAGGTTCCACTTGGCCGGCAGAGGCCTCTTGTACAATTTAAAGAATGTCCGCCTGACAGACACCCAGGCTCACTCTACCTTTTAATAAAATCTAAGGTGACTTAAAGAAGTTTTTTGTTTGTTTTTTTTTAAGGAACAAGAGTTTAGTTTACTGAAATTGTTTGAAAATATTTTATGAAGATGGCTACTTGCAATAATCGAATTAAGATTTATTAAATGCCATAAATGATTTTTTTTATGTCATAGCTTTGTAAATAAGACAAAAATTAACACCATGTAAGTTTGTTACTAGGTAGATCCCATGTAAGAAAGGTAACATTCCTCACAGGCCTATTTTCCTCCCTATAGTACTACAGTACTCAAGAACTGTTCAACTGTGGATATTACCAGGGTTATTTGGGTGATAGCACCAAAATAGACCCAAAGAACACCGGGAAGAAAAGGCTGATTAAAATATATTGCTTTAGGTAGGGACAAGGGGAAAAAATGAGAACCAAGACCTGTCATGTAAAGGTACAAGATCCCAGTAATGAATGTAACTGTACTGTATATATTGCTAGAGAAATACAATTTTGTATTTTTTCCAAATCTAAAATGTGTTAATTTGTTCCACAATACAGAAATAAATGCACTGACGTATCAACCTACACAAGTTAAAAACAGAAACAAAAACTAATTTCGTAACCTCTTCAGATCTGACCCTCTGCCCAGGAGAACACGCGTACATGCGCTGAATATAAAGTCATGTAAGAGGGTTCACAGAAATACAATTTTGTATTTTTTCCAAATCTAAAATGTGTTAATTTGTTCCACAATACAGAAATAAATGCACTGACGTATCAACCTACACAAGTTAAAAACAGAAACAAAAACTAATTTCGTAACCTCTTCAGATCTGACCCTCTGCCCAGGAGAACACGCGTACATGCGCTGAATATAAAGTCATGTAAGAGGGTTCACGGATCTGCTGAAATGAACTCTCCATTTAATGAAATGCACATCAGTATTAACATTTCTAAGTGTGTCAACTCGCTTAAAATAGGTCTTTACCAAATATTTTATATCAATTCATTTAGTTTTCATATCTGTGCTAGCGTCCACTGGACACTGAGGCCAACGCGGAAGGCCTCTGGGGCCCACCTCATCACACGAGGCAAGGGAGGCAAGGCGTGTGTGCCGGTCAGCTGGATTACCGTGCTGTGCAGACACCCAGACAGGCACAGTTCTGTGTCCATTAAAAGTAAGTATGTGGCTCAGTGGTAGAGCACTTGCCTAGCATGCCTGAAGTCCCAGGTTCAATTCCCGGCGCTATAAAAATAAAAGTTTAAAATATATATATATATATATATACACACACATATAAACACATACCCACACACAAATAAGTGTTGAGCATTCCTAATCCCAAAATCCAAATTTCAGAATATTTCAAAAAAGGAAATTTTCAAGCACCCATAAAACACAGATGGAAAATTTCACACCATGAACCTTGCTTCAAGCACAAAATTATTACAGTACTGCATGAATATTTTGCCTATAACCTTGAGGCTGCACACGTAAGGTGAACGTGGAACACAAGTGAGCGTGGCTGTACACCTTGGTCTCACCCCCAGGGAACTGTGTGTGTGCAAACAAATCTGAAATCTCAAACACTTCTGGCTTCGACCATTTTAGGCAAGGTTATGACTGCCAAAATTACAGCTTTTCTTTCGAATTCCTACTTGAGTTCAATCCTTCATTCAAAAATGCGTCTTACTGGGCACACACTACACACAATTTTCCAACAGACAAAGAACCAGCTAGTGCCAGAGCAGCGAGCACCACATCCTGGAGTGTGGAGGGAGCCGTGGCCAAGGGACAAGTGCACTCCAACGAAAACCAGTCTCTCCTTGTCATCACTGTGGGTTTTCACCCTTGGCTGTGACACTGATCCTTTATGTGACTCAGCTTGTTTTTCTTTCAAACAAAATAATAACAAGGCAGATGGAAAGAACCCAACCATCCATGTTTGTTCTGCTATAGGGAATCAAACTCAGGAACTTGCCCTTGTAGGTTGGCTCAGTACGACTGAGCTATATCCCCAGCCCTGTTTTTTATTTCTTTCTTCCTCTGTTTTTTTTTTTTTAAATAAGGTCTTACTAAGTAGCCCAGGCTGGCCACAAATATGCAGAGTTCCTACTGCCTCAGCCTACCAAATGCTAGGATTACAGGCGTATACCACCACTACTGGCTTTTTGGTTTCCATGACCTAGAACCCTTAGCACAGCATAGATTACACCCGTTAGGTTGTGTTTAAAGAGTTCCTTCATTTTCTATACTCTGACAAACTCCTACAGTATTTTAGAGGACACCCAAAACTCCTTTCCTGGATGTTTCATTAGTACATATTAACCTTGCAGAATACTGAGTTTGTTACATTTGCAGTCACAGCAATTGTGATTATGTCCATCCTGCCACCCACCCTTTTCTTATCTATCAGTCTCCCTTCTGCTTTCCCCAGCTCCTGGAGCCCACATATGACAGACGACATGGGCTACTCGTCTAAACCTGGCTTACTTGTCCTAGTTCACTGGCCTCCATTTCCACCTGCTTTCCCACAATGATCGGGCTTCCTCCTGCTTTCCCACCTCACCCGCTGCAGACACCAGGCACCTCCACTAGCACAGCCCCTGGGAACAGGCCAGGAGTGATAGCCAGGCACCTCCATGCCTCCAGGGACACGCTGAGAAGCAGAGCAGCTCCACACACAGGCGGTTTCAGTTCTGAGGCGAGGCCACACCGTGTACATAGTGCCTGTGCCAGTCCAGTCTAGCCAGCAATGTGGACGGGGCCTTTCTTCCCGCACCCTCACCAGCATTTCCTTTTCTTAAAAAAATATTCTTGATGACAGCTGTTCTGACCAGAGGAGACGATCTCAACTCGGTTTTTATTACCTCATAATATCTGCCCACATAGGTTTAAGTGAGACCAGCCACTCCCACAGCCTACCTAGTCACTCGTTTTCATTTCTCTTACCTTTTCCAGCCACTGATACTGCTGATCTTCAGCGACGTAACAACTGCACTGACAGAGGAAAACCTAAAACAGCCAAATTTCAAGGTTTTTGGCCAAGTCAAATTTTACACACACCCAAGCTGCCACTACCTCATACACAACCCTAGGGATGTGGCTACAGACGGGTGTAGAACAGCCCCCCGCAAGGCCCATGCGCTTCTTAGGGCTCAGCACCTCCCCAAATCTCCCCTGACCCAGCACTTGTGGGGGGCACCACAAAAGTCAGGAGATGAAGCCACTCAATGGACAGCTGGACGCGTGGCGGGCTGAGAAGTGGGACCCTGGCCTTGCTCCTTTCACTTCCTGGCCAAGCAGGGAATGGCTCTGCCACTGACTCCCTGGACAGCAGTCTGCCCATCAGGGACTCAAACCCACCCGTAAGCCACAGCGAGCCTTCTCTCTCCATAAGCAGACTGTTTCGAGTGTCTCTGACCAAAAGCTGGCCGACACAAACACTCACCGACTCTTCCCTTGCTCTGCTATGGGCCTGTGTGCTTTAAAATGTCAGAGCCGAGCCATTTCTACAGTTAATTTCCACAGTCTCCGAGAAAGCAACTGAGACTTGGCACCTGAGGGCTGGCAGCGAACACGCCCTAAGATGCCGTGGTGACCACCTCTCAGACTGACAGACAGACCGACAGAGCAAATGCCACGTACCGCAGGGTTTGATTTGAGACGGTAAAACACACAGTAAGCCTCGGTGGGGGACAGCCCGTGCACAGAGTCCGATGTTCTACACCACTCGTTCCAGAGTTTAGCACATCCAACTTCCTCCCAGACTCCTGAATTCATAACAAAGGAGGACAAAAATGCTGCGGAAAGAAGTAATGTATGTAGCTTAGTGCTTGGCTCTGCAAATTATATTTTCTGTTCAATAAAAAGCAAGTTCAAGTTAGCCAAGAACCCCAGGGCGGAAATAGCTGCTGAAGCCCAGCGAATGCTACCGCTGCAGAACAGTGACTGGGGTCTTGTGGACAGGCTCTCGCACATCTCACAGCCTGCAGCGGTCTTCGGAAACGCGGCATGCAGGAGAACGCTACAGGAACGAGTCAACAGTTAATTACATGTGCTTCCTAACCTCCACGAGGACAAGCGGTACCTCACAACCAGGGTGCCCAAATGCTCCCCTGAACACCCTGAAATTACAAAGCAAGGGGACAGGGCTAAACCTTACACTGTTCTACCGTGCAAACAGCGATTCGCCAAGTGAATAAATACAGGCATGAACGCAAGTGCTCAAAAATATCAGTGACTGTTATTTTCAGAATACTCTATGTCCTCAAAGGAATTTGTTAACTTTCAGATATGCAAACCTAGATACTGCAACACATTAGAAACAGCCCCTGAGTACCAAGATCCTGAAGCCAAGGATGTTTTATTTTTTAGGTTTATCACAAAGATGGTATGCATGAACAGGAGACATAGTGACTCAGAAACAAAGACGACCTGCCAAGACTTTAAACAACATGTGAGACCTCACGTGACGAGAAGAAACAAGTAACTTCATTATTTTTTTCTTTCAACAAATGTATCGCCCTCCGCATTTTCACTTACCTACTGCATTATTTCCTATGGCAATTATAAACTTGGAACAGGGATATTTTTCCAGCAGAGAAACTTCCAGGGATGTTTTTGTCTGTCTTCGAAGAAGCCGCACCTCTCTAACACAAGAAACAAGATGAACCTGCAGCAACTTAATTACAACGAGCACAGCATGAAGAAAGGGCACCATCTGTGTAACCTTGGTGCCTTCACTAACAGAGAAAACATGCGATTTAATTTTATAAAGCCTTAATTACAGCCCTAAAGAAATAACAGATTAGGGTGATGATAACCAATGGATAAAACTACTGCATGTACACTTCCACTACCCAAGGGACCTACTGGCTGCTCTTGAATCCCTAAAATAGGAAAACAGGGCTATGTGCCATGAGAAACTGAAAGTACCACCTCCGAGCTTTCCGGCCCACAAAATACTGAATGTGAATCTGCCCAGGCCTCCAGGAGGACACAATTAGACACATCCAGAGCCCTCAGAAGAGGGAAAGGAGGAGCCGAACCCAGCCAAGCACTACGGGAGGCTGAGGCAGGGGGGTGCCCAGTCTTGGCAACCTAGCAACTTAGGAGTTGCTGTCTCAAAATTAAAAAAAAAAAAACTGTGTGTGTGTGTGTGTGTGTGTGTGTATTTTAAGTGCTAAGGATGTACTTCAGTGTGAAGTCTTGCGTTTAATCCCCATAACTAACACACACACAGGAGGGAGGGATGCTAACTATTTTCCATGAAAGGGGCCCTCAACGTGTAAGGTACGGTCCTTGTTAGAATTCCGCAGTCTCACGTTTGAGAAAACGAGGTAACTGCCCAGTGGACATAAATGTCATTGAAAAATCACTGCTAACACTACTCATAAGAAAACGCCTAAGTCTTCTGAGATGCATTCTGAAAAACGCCCAGGCGAAGGGCGGTAAGGAGGAGAAAATCGCCCTAACTCGAGCTCGGCGGGGGTCACGTCGCTGCGCCCCCACCCTGAAGGTCACGGTGCCCCCATTAGGGACACACACTGCTCCCTGACACGGGGTGGAGGATAGCAAGTGTTCTGGAGGGAACTGGCGTGGCTGTACTCCCGCCACTATGGGAGGCTGAGGCAGGAGG